GTTTTTTTGTTTTTCGATATTGTTACATTTTGGCGGGAAAATGACGTTCCAACTTTGGCGCAAAAAAAATGAACAGGAGCTAAGAACATGCCAGTAAATTTTTTGAAGAGATTGTCTAATTAGGATCTCAAAACTGCAAAAACATTGAAAATACAACAGGACAAGTCCGAAGATATGGCGATTCCAAGTTCGACAAAAGTCTATTTTTAGTAACAAAATGGCGGATTTTTCAGATTTTTAAGCACCATATCTCTGCACTGCTTTGGCGTATTTTCTATGTTTTTACAGTTTTGAGATCCTTCCAGTACAATCTCTTCAAAAAGTGACTAGCATGTTCTTAACTCGAGTTTATTTTTTTGGCGCCAAAGTTGGGGCGTCATGTTCCCGCCAAAATGTAGCAATATGGAAAAACAAAAAACATACGATTTTAAAGGAATGTCAAGTTCCATCCTGTGAGGAAGTCTCGTGATATTCCGAACTAACGACAGAAAGTTATTCGACCCTTGCCGAATTTGCTGTCTTGTACGGCCACCGTGTTAAAAAAGACCAAGACATAAAATCATATGATATCGTCTCCCTATAGTAGCCTTGTCTGTAGGCGAACTCCAAATCATATACACAGCCGCTTTCATTTTGACTCGCTTGCTGCGGTGATCTTAACTGGCTCTAATTTTACACCATTTCCTTGGCAGGTTGGTGACATAAGGGTTACCTTCAGTTATGCAGGATTCTGTGGTAAACCAGGCTCACCGCATGGCGACCCAATGACGGTAAGATACTGAACGTGTAATTATAAACTTCAAAGCTTTAGATTAACAAAGTTATGTACTTGTGACTAAAACATATACAAGGCACCTTGATACAAATCCTTCCTAGAAAGGACTAGGGAAAACCAAGCCCCTCAACTAAGCCCCCGAATAAATAATGTTTAAGTCTAAAATGGATCGTCCGTTTCTTTGAATTTATCAGATTGCTTATTAGTTCAAACCACGGGGATGATTGGCGAGACCATGCCCCCCAAGCTCTCTTCAAGATATATTTTCTAATTCATCTAAATACGATGAGAAAATGGGGACGGGGTTACCCATCTGTGGCACCGAACTAGATGTAGCCAACAATATGGAACGCAGCAAATTAATGGAAATATTTAAGATTGCAAAACCTCGTTGGATTCCCTTGTCTCCTCGAATCGTGACTTTTAATGTTGTTTTCAAGACCACACTAGACTTGCAGTTCTTGAATATATAATTTACTCTTGTTTTATGTAATTGCCCATGCATCAATGTATTTTTCACGCCTTAATAGTCATGAAAAAATCGTGTGTTATGGACTTTATAATCTTCACCCACTTTTATACTACGTACAGTCACCGCCACTGCGTAGAATATACCATTAGAACATGGCAAACATGTATGTCATTTTCCTGTGATTTAATAAGTTATCGCGGGGTTAACATGGTGGTTGGTGTAACACTCGCTAGAATGATAAATTAACTTGGTGTGTCCAAGAACTATATCGACAGTGTACTTTTGGCGGAAACACAAGTCTATATATTCTTGGGTGCAAATAAATTTTTTGTGTGTTTGATTTTTTCGCTTAGGTGAGCATAGTTGCTAAACAAACTGGGCATATGTTGGGAGCTTACGAAACTGATTCGGGTTACTCATTGGAATTACTCTACCCTGGGAAGATGTCGGCTAAGGTAAGAACATTTCATGTTCAGATAATGCTGTAGATATATAACGTTCAGATATAAGGAGACTAAAGCCCGTTTTCCACTGCCGACAATAAAAATCTTACAGCTTGTCAAGATGTGATCGCACTGCCTGTTCCCAGTTGTTGACAAGTCTGGAAGAAGTTGTTATCATCTTGTAACAAGGTTGCAGGAATTAAAATACGCAATTTTTACAAGGACACACTTTGCCTTCAGAGGCGTATTTTTGGTATAAATGCGCAGACTTACGAGAACGAGTGGCAAAGCCACAAGTTTAGCGTCAAAGACGCGAGCTTTTATGAACACCGCGGAAAAACGTCTGCGCATGCACCAAATTATGAAAATATGGCGGGGAATTTGAATATCAATTTCTAAAACAAAAATATGCTTATTAATTGGTCAAAAATTAGTAAAACAAACGAGAAAATATAGCAAATGGGTAGACTAGACATTAATTGAAAGCGTCCTGGCATTTAAAGTATGGAATGAAATACAATTCATGTAAAAAATTGTTGATTTTAACGGACACGACTTCGAAAATTTTTGCAAAATTATTCAAGACAAAAATTCAAACTAAAAAGTTAAGAAAACTCTCGAAAAGTTAAGCTTCTTAACCCACTCAAATTGTAGAATAAATCCTAAAGTTTAATTATTGTGAACACGAAAATTTTTTATATTTGGCGACACAGTTTTTTTTAAAGAAACGTATCTCAAACGAAAATTCGGAAATTGTCGTTGCTTAGTTGATAAACAAAATGTTTCAGACGATAAATTTGTCAACAATCACCTTTAGTTCATGTTCTTGTACAATAAAATTCCTTGAACCTTCTGGTTGTATTTATTCCTAGTTTTTAGAATGACATGTTTATTTTTGCGTTCGAAATCTGGCTGTAAAGACGCACAATGAAGTCACTCATTTTTACCGCCATTTTGAGCCTTCGGAAACGTTCGGAACAGCTTCTCATCAAGTTCGCAATACTATTACAGGTAAGGTTGACGCATGCCCAGACGTTTTTCCGCGGTGTTGCTTTTATGGGGGTCTCTTAAATGGCATTTCCAGAGAACAGAATTTGCAAAATCGTTGGCCATTTTGCGTGGATTACATTAATATATTTTCAGTTTCATATATTTTCAAGTACACACTTTTCAATTTACAAGGGCACATTCGCCTTTTACAAGGACACAAAGTGTGTACAAGGACACGCTATTTTAATGCCTGTAAGGTTGATGAGGCCAACAGACTCGCAACAAGTTGTACCAACACGACTGATATAATAATAATTAAGAGATTTTTTCAATCTCACGTATTTGCATGCAATGAAAAGTGTTCAAAACCTAAAATCTTTTTGGCGTTCCTCTCAAAATTACTTTATTTTAGCTTTATTCTCTAGCTAATTAGAGTTAGCAACCTTTTTAAATACATCTGCTGGTTGAGAAACATAAAATAATAGTTAAAAATTGTCAATTAAAATACAATTATCAATGATGCTTTAAAATTGACGCCATATTTACAGCCATGCGCACATATAAGCAAAACTTGCTGAACTTCAGACATCATTTTTTCTTTGGCGTATCACTAAAATCTCTTCATTTTAGCATTATTTTACAGATAAAGCACTAAACATACTTTTTAAGTTTGTTTGCCGATTGAGAAACGTATCGAAAAATAAAAATTTGAATTTAGTCATAACCTCAAGTGGTATATTGTACGCATTAGTTGTGAGCGCGTGTTACGTAACATACAAAAAAACTCCTCTTAATAATAATGCTTTATTCACATGCAGTTTATCCACAAAGTAGTTCTTCATCTGTAAAGGTTACAATAAATATTGGTAGTAAGTCTGTTACCGTCATCAGTTAGTTACGAACAGCTTGGAACAACTAGTAGTAACTCTGTTACCGTCATCAACGTTGTAACAACTTTGTTCCAGACTTGTCACAAAACTGGGAACAAGCAGTGCGAACCAGATGATCTTGATACGCGGAAAAGTACTGGCACTAGTTGTCAAATAGAAATCCATTTTAGGATTAAAACAACTGAATATCTCCTGTAATATACTTTATTTCGATTCCATATTTTTGTCAGAGCTATAGTTCTCATAGCCAAACATACTTACGAAATTTTAACTAGTTTCATAAAGAATAACGAAAGATATAATTGAATACATCAAAATGGATTTCTATTCTGACAACCCTTTCTGAGCGCTGATTGGCTAAAATACGAACACGAGATCACCTGGAACACATTCCGATATCGGCTTGGCATGCAACAACCTTGTTGCAACTTGTTTGCAGATCTGTAAGAACTTGCGCGTTTTTACGTATATTGAGCAAAGCTAAAATCTTCTTTAGGAAATATTCGAAGCTGAGCATGCTTCGAACGTGGCGGTCACGTGGGCTCTGCGTGGCGTTGGCTGGCTGATGTTTTTCCTGGGTTTTATAATGATGACAAGTATTTTGACAACTTTGGGTAGGTTGAACTATATTCGTTGCTTAATATAAATTTGCGATGAAAGAATATCCCGTATGCTTAAAAATACACTCACACTGGTTGAAATTTTCATGGCTAAATATTTAATTGCAGTGTTGCTAAATGTGGAAATATTTTGGACATTCCGTTAAAAATTTACTACGTTTCTAGTATTGAGAATACATTGTGCTTACATGCACTATAACGAAGTGGTTTGCCGTAGCGTATTGACTACGGACCATCATACGTTTGGCACTCCGGATGCAAATTTAGACGCCATCAGTACGCTGCAAACATCATGCGTGATCATAAGTTTCCTATCCATGTGTTTTCTAGACTTGCTCCAAGTCTCTCTTTCATTGTCATATAGTATCGATCCACTGTAGTGTACATTACATGACGTAGTACGGAGGGGCGGGGCGAGAAAGAGAGACTTGTCAACTTCGGAAAATCTCGGTTCAAAACTGAACCGAAAATGCAAGACTTGCTTTAATTGTTTTCTGTCAGTGTTTATATGTATTGATCTAGCACAGTGTAAATAACATGAGTTCCATTATAGTAAATAATACAGAAAGAAATTGAAGAAAACAATTAAAACAAGTCTTGCATTTTCGGTTCAGTTTTGAACCGAGATTTTCCGAGGTGGACAGGTCTCTCTTTCTCGCTCCGCCCCTCCGTACTACGTCATGTAATGTACACTATAGTGGATCGATACTATATGACAATGAAAGAGAGACTTGTCTATGTGTTTTCATGATCCATGCTTACAGCTAAAGTTCGCAACGGATGCATAAACGACTTTCCTAAATTTCTCTTTTTTCCAGTTTCTTGGATTCCAATCGTTCGTGATATTATTGGACTGGGGGTGACCTTGGCCTGTGTCGCCATGGCAACGTCATTCTCATTGGTCGTCATCGCTATCGGCTGGATAAGATTCCGCCCGTTGCTTGGCTGTGCTTTACTGGCTGCTGCCGCTGTACCGTTTATTTTATCAAAATTCAAAGCCAAGTCCGAGAAAAAATCTGAGAAATTTTAAGAGCCGAATGCCGCAACTGTGAACCACAGTCAACATAACGTAAACATTAGCATATAAGTCCACCTTCTTTTCTGTCAACCCGGACGTCAGATTGTCGAATGGGGGACTGGATTAAAAACTGTGTTTTTGTCAGTTTGTGCATGGTAATCTTCAATCCTTTATAGTTCTTGCTTTGAGCGCTGTGATGCAAAATGCCGCCAATATTAGTTATACTAATTTTCGGGTGACGTCTGTGTCATAGATATCTTATATACACTAGAGAGCGCATTTCTTTTAGTAAAATTGAAGCCAAGAATATTCCAGCGGTTACCCCCCATTTGAATAGATGGCGGCCATGTTGGTGTTTCCCACTCGCTAATAAACGCTTAAAAACAACAATAACTTTCATCATTTGAATAGTTTAAAAACGTATTTGGAATAGGTTTACCTTAATATTTAAGCTCCGTGTTTAACAAATAGAAAACATACGAATCTTCTCATTTCATGGGAATATCCTATGTCTGCAATCACGGCTTCAATTTTTGCAATGTAGAATAATTAGATGCACTATCTAGTGTATATAATATATCTATGGTCTGTGTTGACAAAAACGTTGCTTGCTTCAAGCCAGCTGGTTCACACTATGTATAGGTCCAAAACGGTCTAATGTATAGGTCCACTCATTCACATTTGTCAAGAGGAGAAAATCGCCGAAAAAATTGCCAGTGTGAACCAGGTTTAAAGCTCATTATTAGATTTATTACTATACGTGGATAATACATTGTTGGGCTGTAGGAATGTAATGGCCGTTTTCCACTTCGACCGTATCGTACCGAAACGTATACTGGTGAGCATGCGTAGATTGAAAAGAAGTTGATAAATTCACGTACTTCCGGGTGTATTAACCAATCAACATTCACTAAATATTGAAAATTTTTTTGATACGTGTCGGCACGGTATACACTTGAAGTGGAAAAGGGCCTTCAGATTACGTTTGAAGTTTTGGCGAGTCGAACCATTCCGTTCATTTCCTGCGGTTAGTTATGTAGCGCGCGGATACAAGGCTGAAATTCTTGTCATCGTGCAGTTTATAATTTGATCTCATCCAACAATTGTTTATTGTGTTCAAGGATTAATACCCCCAAGACAAACATACTTCGTCTCAATAAATTCATCGATGCCATACTTTGATCCCTCACGTCCTATACCCGACTGTTTTACCCCTCCAAATAATGCTCCTTCTGTACTTATTAATCCCTCATTTACACCTACCATCCCCACTTCTAGCGCCTCCATGACTCGCCATGCTTGGCTGATGTTTTGAGTGAAAATATATCCTACAGTAAACAGGAAAGACTTTAGCCGCAATCATCGCAAGGAGTTCGTATGAGCCCGGGAAACTCGCCGGAGTGAGATTTGCATGCCATTTGTTAACGCATTGACAAAATTAAAGTTGTGTTCATATGAGAAACGAGCCAGCCAGTAGGTATTAAGTTAAGTTTTAAACCTATTCCTGGAAAGTTGTGCATGCCTGCCAGTAATATCAGTTGATAAGTTGTTCCATGCGATAGCTCCGCGATATGAAAAGCCCATAGATTAGAACAAAAAAATAACTCATCCCACCCAAGGGTTGAAGTTATGAACTGACCCCTTGTACGATTATCTAAAACCGCTGGTTAACTTGGAGTCAGGGCATAAAACAACAACTGGACTTAACTTAAAAAGCGGACCAATGATTACCTGCTAGTCCGAATTTTGTTCCATTTGCCATTTTAACTGCTTCCTCTTCCGTTTTAAACCTGGCAAATGATGAATAGAATTAGCTTGCTATACTACTATTCCAGTTTACGAAATTTGCTTATGGAAGAGAACACTCTAAAAACACTCTGGTTAAAATTTTCCTCGTGTTGGTTATTAGAAACAACCCTATTTGGGTTAACTTAATATTCCTGGTTAACATTTAACAATTATTCGCCGAAGGTGAAGTGATTATCGGGGAATATTCGCCGATACGAAGTCAAGGTGAATATTCCACGATAATCACCGAGCCTGGGGCGAATAATTGTGTTAGTATTTTTACACAAGCTTTTGTGTTTTTTGAGACTGAATTTATTTTAATTTCGCTTATTTTTTTGTCAGTAAACTTCCACAAAACGGGTAGCCGCCATTTTGAAAATTTCTGTTTTGTTATATTCACCTGTAGTCAAATTTGACCAATCAACGTGTAGGATTTGTTATGTTCACTTGTGTAAAAATACTAATCCTGGTTATTCTCATTTTTTTCCTTCCATAATCTGGTTAATTTGAGCAGAACTCCCTGGTTGAATTAATCAGACTACAGCCAGGTGGATCACAGTCTTTCAGAAGATGGTTTAATTGGAAACTCCACTAAAGTCTTTGTTCTATCTTTTTGTTCGCGTTTATGCAGATTTGTGCACGGTGCACGGTCAATGAACACATTGTATTTCAGTGTAATGAACGAATCATCCAATAGCAACGTTTCAGTTCATTTATTCAACCATGCTATTTAAATATTAATAAACCTAAAACAAAGGATGTGCACGGTGTAAGGTACGGCTCAACATAAACTCCCAGCTCATTATAACCGCTTTGAAGTTCAATGAGTTTCCAGACCGTGTCTCGAAAGACTATGGGTGGATAAATAACCAGATTCCTGGTTACATTGACCATGCAGATTATGGTAGGAAGAGAGATAAAATAGTGAAAATACTGTAACCAGAAATTTTAAGTTAACCCAAATAGTGTTGTTACTGTATATAGCTAGGGTAAACACTAAACGTGATTGGCTGATTTGCCCCGCCGGGGCAACAAGTGAAAAAATGTTGCCCCCCCCCCTGACCGGCTACTGTACAGTACGAACATAAATAAACAAAATGGCAGCACAAATTGCAAGTTTTTTAAACTGTTTAAACTCCATTACACTATAGAGTTTTTGTCATGAAATACAATTGCTGTATGAATATTGTTGAATGTCGGTTTTTGTTTCGTCCCTGTATAAAAAAAAACACTTAATGTCTGTTCCCTCGGAAACTAGTTTTGTTTTCCTTCCAATCTCAATGTTTCCTCGACTATGTCTCGGGAAACATTGAGATTCTCGAGAAAACAACACGATTTCCCGCAGGAGCCAGGAAATTTTAACCAGACTGTTTGCAAAGTAAAGTAACCGATCCGGTTAAATAAATTCGAATTCATCAACGTACCTAATAACTGGCGCTACAGGACCAAATGTCTCTTCTTGACTCACAGACATGTCATTAGTAGCATCAGCTAGTACCGTGGGCTCATAAAATGATCCCCCTAGTTCACTCTTTTTCCCACCAAATACAACTTTTGCACCAAACTCTTTTGCATCGCTTACATGACGTTCCACCTGAACAAAGGTGATTAATATTGCTGAGTGATAAGCCATTACCACAGTATAGGGAGACAACCAGTAGGGCCACTTAGGGGAGAGAAAAGTGGCAATTATTTAAGCTAGGTTCCAGGTGTCTTACGCGGCCAAAATCATTATTCTGTAGTACAATTTTATAGTGGACTGCTGCCGTTTACTGGCTGCTAATATGTAAATTAGGTTGGCAGCCAGTACGTAAACAATGTAGACACTTTTTTACGCTGAGTGGCTCTACTGTACTTTTCCTATACTGTGCCATTACACAGCTAAAAACGATCACGTTGTTGCAATATTGATGTAAACAGGATTGAACAATGTTGTGCTGCCCAAATTGTTCACAGTTGTTAACAATGTTGAACAATATTGTTACACCCAATTAAGGCTCAACAATATTGTTCAGTATTGTTGACAAGTGTGAACAATGTGGGTAGCACAGGGCAGCACAACATTGTTCAATCCTGTTAAACAGCGGGCTCATAATTTTTACGCGTGTATATATCATTACATGTGGATACGATCAAGTGCGCTTTTGGTTCTTTAGGTCATCGTAATCGTAATACTTGATGTAGGAAATGGTTGGTGGCACCTCCACTTCAGCGATTAATGGACGACTTACGCTTTAGAAAAAATTTTAATCTGGGAATAACAAAGGATATTTTCTGAAAGAAGTTATCAAAATTAGAAGTTATCAAAATTTCGCAACCAAACTGCAAAGTTTGGTTGCGAAATGTTGTAAAATACGGAAAATATAGCCCTGCGAAGTTGGCAAATTTGTATACATTTCTATTACGTGCGGAAATTGGTAACTAATTTAGTTACCAATTCACGCACGTAATACAAAAGTATACAAATTTGCCAACTTTGAAGGCCTATATTTTCCGTATTTTACAACATTTCGCAACCAAATTTTGTAATATTACTAATTCCAAGACGCTCTTTCCAGCTGTGGTGATAGATTTCGTTGTTCTTACTTAAATTAAAATTTAGTCTAAAGCGCAAGTCGTCCATTGCTAATTACAGTATACCTTTTCTACGGCTCGTGCATTGATCAAAGGTCCAATATCCGAGTCTTCGTTCATTCCGTTTGCAATGACCAGTTTCCTAACGTTCTCCACAAATTTTCCTACAAATTCCTCATAGACAGCATCTTGAACTAATATCCTGTTCGTCGCTACACAAGCCTATAAAGATTTCAGGAAGCCGGGTATAGCTATCATATACAGCCGGATAGGAACTTCTAACCACTGCATATATACTCTAAAAGCTATAAAACTACGATTGTGAACCTCGCCAATCCAGATTGGGGAAAATGGTTTAGAGGTAGAGCTACAGTACAGTATTACTTACAGGATAATTTAGACGCTTCCTTTACTAAAAATGGACGATAACAGGTATCCCTCACTTGACCTTCTGGTGAAGCAGTTAAGAACGTCCATAGAGCTCTGGCAGAGGAGCTGTAGTAAAGTTAGTGTAGTTTATTTCAATACCTGTCCAGTGTTTCTAAATTTCGAAGCAGCAGCGTTGCTCGCTGCGGCATCAACATCAGCACTATCAAACACAATGAACGCTGCATTTCCTCCCAGCTCCATTGAAGCCTTCTTCACTGTCTTCGCACATTTCTCCAACATTAACTGAAACAAAGAACGCGAAGAAAAGTTTAATTACCGAGTAAAGCTAAATGAAACTAAATGTTATAATACTGCATCAATTCTTAGACACGACCTGGAGCAGCTACGAAAAATACAACAATAGGCCCAGGAATCGAACCTGTGTATCTCGATATTTATACAGTACCTTATGCTGGCACTGCCAAGGGCACTGCCCACCACAGTACTGTATACAAGAACTTGTGATTAGAGCTGGACAACTGGACTCTGCACTCAGTTCAGTGTAGTTCAGTTGGTTAGAGCGTTGAACCGAAATCGTAGGGCCGCAGGTTCGATCAAACTACCGCCGAACGCTAGATTTTGGTGGCACTTTTTGCCCACATGATCTATCAAAATGGCGAGGACTACAGTAAATGCGGGAAGTACTGTACAACAATCCAACATGTCTCTCTCACCTGACCAGTTTCCGTTGATCCTGTGAATGAGAAGTTGGTTACCAGGTCACTGCTCATGATTACCTCGGTCACTTCCGGCGATTTGACACGTGAACAAGGCAGGACATTGAACACGCCAGCCGGAATACCTGCTTCTTCCGCTAACTAAAGAAAATTTTGAAACAAAGGTCAAAGCGTTTGATTTTGAAAATGAATGGTATTGGACGTCCTCTTTTTACTGCACACCTGAGTACTATGGACGTGCCAATAGATTTTTAATGGGAGATTGGGCAATGTTTTGCAGGATATTTTTACGCTCAAGACTGTGCAGGATTTTTTCAGTCCCACTCACTGACTCGGGAAAATTTTGAATCTAAGGTCTCAGAAATTGCAAATTTCTTGCATTCTGAAAGACTATTTGACAATCATATCTATGCATATTTAACTTTAGCGTCCAACAACCGTTTTTCTACCTGTGCGAGTGCCAACGCCGCAAACGGCGTTTCCTCCGAAGGTTTACAAATCACTGAACATCCTGCAGCTATGGCGGGAGCAGCTTTGCGTGTCAACATCGCCAACGGGAAATTCCACTAAAGTAAGAGAAAATGTTAATGTGGTTAAAAGGGTGGCGAAGGGATAGATTTACAATGTAGGTGAAGCGCGTATCATTTTCATTTCTGGTGAAACTTCGTTCTTTTCTCTCGCGCAAATTGTGAATCAGACTACAGTATATGAAAGTCATTCGAATTTGCGTAAGTTAATACTTTTTTCTCAAGCGACATAAAAAGTAACGGATAAAGTGTCTACAGTACATTACATTATTATTCAGCTCACTCCCAATTGGGGCTTTTTAGTGACCGATTACAGTACATCAAATATTATGCTCATGTTACTTACTTAGCCTAGACTACTTACTGTATATCTTCACAACAATTGAGATACTACTTTCCTAACAGTGTTTATCCTAACCCACCATGTCAACTTTCCCTGTGGGAGGAAACCGGAGCACATGCAGAAAACCCATGACTTTCGACAGAGCGTTGACAGACTCTTTTCACACGAGTCCGTAGCGAGAATCAAACCCACTAGTGCAGCGGGTAACTATAATAATTGTGCGTTTTTTGAGAAAATCATGAAATTACTAACATAGTTAGTGCATACCATAAGCTTTATATTCAGATGTGGAGGGAAGTCAGGTTTGACCTTGGGGACCGTGTAAGGTCAATCCAAGATGGCCGCCATTTCTCATGACGTAATCACACCAATCACGCTAAAATTTGGAATCAAGCAGTGTAGAAAAACATATTAGGTGTCTTTGTATGATAAAATTATGAATACACGTCCAATTGGTGATACGTTTAAGACAGTCTGCACGGAATAACACACAGTTATGTCAAGGTCAATCAATCTATGTTAAATATTTATTTAATGTCATCTAATTGAAAGGAGTCCATTGGCACTTTCAAACGTTTATTTTTCCAAAAATATAGCACCTGAAACTTTAAAATAACTATTTACATAACAAGAAGTGATGCATCACAATTGTCGAAATCTAACAGTCTCCAGAGCAGACACACAGTGCTGTGCACTTTAGAGCAGCTTTAACACATTTGCAGCGTCCAGTGCACCCTTTCTTACAGCTGCAGTGGATCAATTCATGGCACGATTTCGATGCTTCGGGAAGAGTGGTCCAAAGAGGCTGCCACCCAGTTGTATCCCTTATCCATCCCCAGTCAGATGGGTCTGGCATCTCTGGATCCTTCACTAATGCCTTGTTCCAACAGTGAGCCTGGTAGCGAGTCCGCTTGATATGTTGCTTGAGTGCAGCTTGTGTTGGAGGGATGTTTTCTAAAGTTCTAGACTTCTGTGTGAATAGCTGTTTCCTGGCATCATTGACGTTAGTACTCTCGCTGGTTCGGTCGTACATCAACACCACATATCGCTCTAGCAGTAACAAAGCTTTTTCACTGATCTCATTTGGCATGCATAGGAGTTCACTGAAAGCGTCAATCACGTCTGGAAAAGACTTCAATGTTTGCCATGCTGTCTTCTTTCCTCTGCCAGCGAATGTAGATACAGTATCACAGCCAGTATATGCGTGAAAGACTGGAAGAGTGAGACATTCTGAGGGAGACATTGTGGAAACTATTTCGTGAATAACTATGTGCCGAAAACTTGATCCGGCGCCAAAAGCAATCCATAGCTCATCAGGGCCAATCTTGCTGAATGAAGCCACAGCCAGTACCACTACATCAGTATCAACGGTTCGTATAGTGATCTTTGTACACCCCTTTTGCACAGCATCTGCCGCATGCAGAAGTAGACGAGTGTCGGCTTCCCCTTGCGAACACGGGGCAAGGCGGGCTAAGTTAGACTCAGCAGGAGAACAGAGGACTCCACTTCCATCACTTGCATATAGTTCCTTGCCATCTGCTAGCGGAATATGAACAACTTTTTGTGACAAGAAAGTGAACAATTCAGTCTTGTTCTGATCGACTCGAAGGAAGTCCTTCCAGTTCTTAGGCATTGCAGTGGAAGCAGCGACCCTTTTCCTGGTTCCTTTCCCCCTCTTCTGCCTGGTGGAGGCCTTCAGGCTTGCAGGTAGGTATACATCCCAGACAAGGTCGACGCGGTGACTCTTCTGGAATTGGGCAGCGATGTACGGTGTAAACACTCTTTCACCATATTCTTGAAAAGTTTTTGATGTTCCAGGATTCAGCATTTGGACCACAGCTGCACCATCAAGAATTGTTGCATCAACCACTGCCACGCCATTTTGTTCAGGCAAATCTGCTTCCAGACAGCGAAGTAGATCTGCTTTAACACCACTCCGCATCTTTCCTGCAATTGACAGAGCTGGTGGAGCTGACTGGTTTTCATGAGCAAAGAATGTGTCGATGTCTCCATCACGAGTTTGACAAGAGATGTATAACCTCGAAAAGAGACCACAGTCACTCTTCAGTGCTGCCAGCTGTGCTTTCTGATTTGATTGAACTTTGACAGGCGGCCTACTAAACAATGGCAGCTTGTTCTTTGGAAGTGTTTCCGTGATAGGTGTTTTACACTGTTCTAGCCTCTCTGTGACAAACTTGATGTATTGCTCTTCACCCAGGGTCTCGATCTTTCTCACAGTTTCTGCCACTTCAGCGTCTACAATGTCCCGTGTATCAATGACTAGTAGGTCTTCACTGTGTTCTAAGAACGGATTTCCCATCTCGTCCAGCACTGTTACAAGTGCTTTAAGCTCTTTCAAGAATGCTGCTTGCACCCCAGGTTGCTGGTCATGATGACTGCATTTAGTGTCATGATGTTGCTTCATGGCCTGTTCCTCAAACTCTGTTGTAAGTCTGGCGATTTCTGGCCCTGCTACCATCCAACGTCTCAGTGCTCCAGGATTGCCAGTCAATCCAACAGCCCCACCAGAGCCTTTCACCATTGCATTGTTCTGCTCGTGAGACTGATCAAGTGCCATGGCAGAGAATTTGTTGCTGGTTTTGTGTACCACAAAGTTTCCTAACTTGAATTCAGCGAAAACATCTGGGTGTTTTTCAGCAAGTGTCGTCATGTCGCGGATGTGTACGGAAAGCCATCTCGAGTAGTGTGTATGATCTAGAGCGAACATCCAAGGCATGATCTGCGTCAGGGAGTCCACGTACAGTTCGAAGTTACCTTCACGTAGTGATCTAATGTACCGCAACAAGAGAAGCTCCAATGACAACGTCTTAAGCCAGTAGTCAAAGTGAACACTAGGATTTGCTCGCTGTATGCACCACTCCTCGAAAGACGGAGTATCTGGTTGCATAGCATCAGTATATTCGGATGTGCTGTCTTCATCGTAAGCTTTTTGGAGGAGTGCGTAAAGGCTTGCAGCTGTGACCTGGTGTGCATGGCGGGTCTTTGTGACATGGCTGGCGTTTATGAAGGAATTTGCTGTTCCAGCACTTGCAATGTCAGCCTGTACCAGGGCGTTCGTCCAGCCACTATCTTCCAGCCAGTCTCCCAGCAACTTCAGCGGCCATCTCGATATGTAGACCACCAAACATGATTAAGAAGTGATCCTCTCCGTGAATGACTGGCTAAGTCCACTGGATTCCCTTGGCAAGTGCATATAGTGG